TGCCAGACAGTCCAGTTTCTCCCCGTATGAGTCTGGGTCCCCAGAGACTCGTCTGGAACTGGAGTTCAGAGCAGTCGGGAGCTTGAGACTCCCTCCCAATTGAAAAAGACAATCGTGTCCTCAGTTGCCAGACCTTTCCTTGTGCACCTCCGTACCTCTGCACTTTACTTCCGCACCTCCTCTGAGTCTCAGTGTGCTTTTCTCTTTCCTTCTAGTTGTAGAATCTCCACTCAGCCAGCCTTCCTGTGGTTCTGGATGATGTCCATTTTGTCTTTTAGTTGTGTTTTTGAAGTGGTTGTGCGAGGCAGCAATTTCTGGTGTTTACCTATGCCGCCATCTTGGTTTCTCCCAAGCAGAAATCTTGATAGCGGACCCTGTGCCCCTGTCTGTGTGTGTTTGTGTGTGTTTGTGTGTGTGTGTGCATCCGCAGTCACACTCGGACACTCCTTGATTTGCATGGTCCCTCGGCATCCATGAGCACTCTTCAGCCCCTGCCTTCTCCAAGACAACGCCCCCTGCTTGACTTCCCCCCCTCGGATCTACCTAGAACCCGGGAAGTCCTGTCACCTGGCTCTGCCTTCCCCAGAGGAGGCTGCAGGAGGGACGCTTGCACTGGCGCTCCTCAACCAGCAGAGGGCGCGACGGCCTGCTGAAGCTTTTCCAGGTCTTGGAGAGGACTTGGGAGATTCCGCAGGTGTCCTAGGAGCCCCGCAGGGCACCTTCTCCACGTCTTGCAGGGCGGCATCTCTGTTTTCTGGGTCGAGGTGGGGACCACACATATTTACACAGGCTTGGGTGGGTCCAGGACAACCCTCTTTGGCAATGGCGGATCCGGGGTTGTGGGCTTTGGTGGAAAACCTGGAGGACGCTCAGGCGTTTAGTCACACATTTCGCAGCCTCTCCTGGGTGGCAAGAGCAGTGACAGCCCATCAGGGAGGGATAAGAAATATTTGGGGGGCTCTCGTGAGCCACACAAGCCTCCCCGGGTGTGCGGGGCTGCTGATCCTGGGAGGGCACCCGGATGTTTTCGTGCATTCGCGGCCACCAATCCACCCCGGTTCACACCAGCACAGCTGGACATGCGCCTTGGAGACGGACATGGAGCCATTCCAGAGATTAGTCCCAGGAGTGGAGACCCTGCTCCACTGGACAGAACTGCGGCCTGGGAGTGCTGGCAGGTCTGGGAAGCGCGCGCCAGGGGCTGATGGGCTCCAAGACACGGCACGCCTTGGCAACAGAACTGAAATCAATGCGCACAACAACTTTCCTTCCCCCTCCCGCCCCCCACACCCCCCTCCCTCCCCCAAGGATACATCACCAGATGCACAGCCATAAAAATCATGATGTGCAGCCTGGCTGTTGGGGCTCAGTGAATAGAGAGGCGGGCCTCGGACTGAAGCGTCACCGCTTGGATTCTGTTTCAGGACAACTACCTGGGTTGCAGTCTCCATCCGTGACCTTCCTTGGTCAGGGTGGGTGCGGTAGGTGACCTATATTTGTGTCTCTTTCACATAGAAGTTTCTCTGTCGGTCTCTCCTCCTCCATTTCACCCTCCCTAAAGATCTAAGGGTAAGTATCCTTGGGTGAGGATTTACAAAGAAAAAAAGAAAATACCTACGTGGGTTCACGAGTATCCAACTCTGCCATAATTGCAGAGTCCTTGTCCGGGCACACACCCTCCCCACCCCCGCCCAGTGCCCAGCCCAAGGCTCTCCAGCAGGCCCCTGTGCCTCCCCTGCTGCTGAGATCACTGGCATGCGGGCACGGACCTGTGCCACCTTCTTCTTCTTCCTCCTGTTCTCCTTGAGTCTCCCTCTGGGACCAGGGCTTTGGCCAGTGCCCTTGGCCCCCCAGGGGAGGACGTCCCCGGCTGGATGGTTGAGCAGGTGGTCAGTCCTGCCCCCTCTGCTCCAGTACTGGTGAATGACGACGGCTTCGGCGGGCAGGGCACACTCGACCTCCCTGAGGTTGAACTAAGGCTTCGGTCGAGATTGTTCCTGGAGCAAGCGCCACTGCTCTAAGCTCGTGTGCTTGACGGGCGCCTCGTGTGCGGGCTCCTCGGACACGCGACCCGTGAAGCTGGGGGCACTCTCGGAGCCCCATGGGGTCAACGCCGCGACCTTGTGCTCCGTCCTGGGGCAGCGGGCTTCCCCGCTGTCTCCTTCCAGTTCACTGGTCTGGACGTAAAAGAGCACATAGGCGCGTTGGCTCTGTCCTTCAGATGTGCCCTATGACGTCTGTTTTTCAAAACCATTGAATCCAAAGAGGTCAGTTGTACTGTAGGTGTGATCAGAATCCCACTGAGCATCAAATGGGATACACAGTCCTGAGCCACCAGGCAAAAAGCCATAGGGAATCTTGAGAACCGCTGTCTTAGACAGACCTTTATACCCTGTGACTATGACAGTTTATCCCTTCTTTTACACAAATATTCTCCCCCACAATATGGAAGCTGTTATATGTGTGCTATGTAGCTTTGAAAGTAATTGAGGTGATAGTGCCTGCAATACTAATTCATTTTTAGTGAGGTCTGTCTCTCCTTTATTGACTAAAACGCATTTTAAGAGTCTTAGTCACAGACTCATTTAAAACCCAACTTCTCAATTACATACACATGTATATGCACATACATTTTTTAAGTTATTGAATCATATTTATGGTATTGGTCTGTTTAGTGACATTGGACATGGTTACCATATTATGTCTTTCAATCCATGAATATGGGATATTTCCATTTACAGGACTCATAGTTCTTTCCTTTTTTAAAAAAATAGCATTTTATAGGTTATACACACAGAATTATATAACTTTTATTAGATTTATTTTTAGGAATTTCAGTTTCTGATCATATAACATGCATTGTAAATTTCCTTTCCAATTTTTTTTTGTTTGTTTAGAAGAAATTCACTGATCTCATTTCTTCCTAACTTCACTAACTATAGATTTCAGGAAAATTTCTAATTATGCAATCATGCTGAGCTAATAATATAAATTATGATAGCTTTCTTTCCTCTTTCTTCTTTCACGTGTCTAATTGCATTGAATAGGAATCCATCATAGTGTTGAATATAAGTGGTAAAAGCAGAAATTCTGTTGTTTTTTTAACAAATTTTTATTGATTTCATAGAAGATGGGGAAGGGAGATAGAAACATCGATGATGAGAGGCAATCATTGGTTTTGTGCCACTTGCACTCTGCCCATTAGGGATGGAGCCCACAACCCAGGCTCGTGTCCTGACAGGGAATGAACCTATGACCTCTTATCTCCAGGGCCCATGCCAAATGACTGAGCACCACCGGAAGGCTTAGTCCAATGATTTCGAACTTGCACATGGGAGAGGAGTAGCTATTTCCTGCTTATTGTCCCGATCATTGTTAGCCATAGCAGGGATTCAAGCCTCTTTAATCCTCTTTAGTCATTGTTTTCCTGGGGCCTTTTTCTGGGGAAAGATGAGGGGGAAGGATCCTCAGTTCAGTCACCTGCTCTTCATTCTCTTCTTCAGTTGTACACAGCAGAACCCTCTTCCTTATTTGAGCTCTTAGGAATTTTTTAATTCTCTGTGCTTGCATTTATCATTTCCACTAACCTATAATCTGAAGAGTCTAGGGATTTTGCTTTACCTTTGAAGACTGGGTTTGGGGTAAGGGAATTGCGAAGTTACTATGACACATAGCAAAACTTAGAATATTTATTTATTTTGATAAATATGTTTTCTTATTGATTTCAGAGAGAGGAAGGGCAGACAGAGAGAGACTAACATCAAATTTGACAGACAATGATTGATTGGCTGCCTCCTACAAGCCCCCTAAGGGAATCTAGCCTGAAACTCTGGCATAAGCCCTGACCAAAATTCAAACCAAGTCCATCTGGTTCATGGGTGGAGACTCAACAATTCAACCACACCAGCCAGGCTAGTTGCTCTATTTATTATTTGAAGGAAGAACCAGAGTACAGGGCCTGGGTTATAGAATGTTAAAATGCTGTGTGACAGAATGAGAAATCTAGGAAATATTAGTGTAAGTGAGTGTTGGACAAGTTTCTGTAAGGGACAACACTAGGTAACAGCACTACAGGAGGGCACACTGCCCACAGAATTAATTGATTTTTGCCGGAAAATGAAACTTCTTCTGCTATAAGCTTATGTGGGTGACTTGCAACAAGTTGATTAATGTTTGAGATAATATTCTGAGAATTAATTAACTTTGGGATCTTGCAGGTCAATGACCCTTCCTTTGGTTTACCATCCTGTACATTGAATTAGAGGGCAGTAGCTTTGCCTCTTTCTAGACTAGGTGGTCTTTGATGGCTTTCACATTTGCTTTTCCATAAATTTTAAAAATAGAGTTACTTAGGTTTTCACTTCTTAAACTTCTCGCAAGGTTAATTATTTTCATAGATTTTTAAAAGTAGGATTTAAATTCCCAAACATTTGATAATGTGGAAAATAATTCATATGGTGGTGGCATCAATAACTTGTTAACTTGTGATGGGTTTCAACGAAATACAGGTAGTAGCATGGCACTTCTGTTGAAAATAATTTTCTACAGCATCTATGAAATAGTGACTACAGTTAGTATTGTATTGCATATTGAAAAGTTTCCTGTTTCTACCAGAAAATACACTGACATCCTGTTAGGGTGTCGGCCCCCAGGTGTTTTCTATGTGTTGTAACCCTAATGCCCTATCAGACTGCCATCTGTATAATCCACTTTAAGGTGGTTATTTCCTTTTGTAGATTTTAGCCAATCTCAGCAAGTGGGTGTGGCCTAAGGGGAGTCCTATAAAAGGCCACGCTGTGCAGAGCACACATCACTTCTCCAGAGCAGACTGACTGAAGTTGGAGCTGCCAGTTGAGTGAGGAGACTTCCTACTGACCCTGATATCCGCAGAATTTTCCGAGGTGAGAGCACTCATAGCAGACTCTGGTGAATATAGAATTTAGAATGTATATGTTTTTATTTTTTTTGAGTAAATGTCTCTATTCCTTTAACACCTTCAGGTCCAGAGTACCATCTAGGCCCGGAGGTACCCCGGAGCGGCGGTGGCGGCGTCCCTGAGTCGGACCGGACCGGACCGGACTGTGAGTGCTGCTCCGGGCATAAGTTGCCCCTTCCCGTCTAGCCGTTTCCCGGCCTGGCCCTGCTTCGCGCGTGTCGCTAACGGGGCTGCGGGACAGCCAGGCGCCGGGCCAGGGTGAGGCCTGTGCGGGGACCTGAGGAGCCGCCTGCTAGATGGGGTTGTGATGCTCCGCTTTAAATGATTTTATAAAACAGCGTGCTGCCCGTGGTGCTGTCGCGGGCGCTGAAAACAAGCGGAAGAAGATGGCGCTCACCAGCTTTTTACCTGCACCTACTCAGCTCTCTCAGGACCAGCTTGAGGCTGAAGAAAAGGCAAGGTCCCAGAGATCACAGCAGACCTCACTGGTCTCCTCCCGAAGAGAACCTCCCCCATATGGGTACCGGCAAGGCTGGATACCTCGGTTATTAGAGGATTTTGGAGATGGAGGTGCTTTTCCAGAGGTCCATGTGGCCCAGTATCCACTGGATATGGGACGAAAGAAAAAAATGTCAAATGCACTGGCCAGTCAGGTGGATGCTGAAGGAAAAATTACATATGATGCAATTGCTCGGCAAGGACAGTCAAAAGACTTCCTTCTTCGCCGACTCCGTCCACACCTTTGGGAACCCCTGGACCCCAACAATGGGCGCCCAGCGGGTGCCACGGCCACCATCATGTCAGACACGGACAGCGATGAAGATTCGACTGGGGGCTGCCCATTTTCTTTAACTGGATTCCTTTTCGGCAACATCAATGGAGCCTTGCAGCTGGAGGGGGAAAGCGTCTTGGACGATGAGTGTAAGAAGCACTTGGCAGGCTTGGGGGCTTTGGGTCTGGGCAGCCTGATCACTGAACTCACGGCAAATGAAGAATTGACTGGGAATGACAGTGCTCTGGTAAATGATGAAGGATGGATCAGGAGCACAGGAGATGCTGTGGACTATTCAGACATCAATGAGGTAGCAGAAGATGAAAGTCAGAGATACCAGCACACAATGGGGAGCTTGCAGCCCCTTTGCCACTCAGAATATGATGATGATGACTATGATGCTGATTGTGAAGACATTGATTGCAAGTTGATGCCTCCTCCACCTCCACCCCCAGGACCATTAAAGAAGGATAAGGACCAGGATGCTATTACTGGTATGTCTGAAGATGGAAGAGGCATCATCATGCCCTCCATCATTGCCCCTTCCTCTTTGGCCTCAGAAAAAGTGGACGTCAGTAGTTCCTCTGACTCAGAATCTGAGATGGGACCTCAGGAAGCAACACAGGCAGAATCTGAGGATGGAAAGCTGACCCTACCGTTGGCTGGGATTATGCAGCATGATGCTACCAAGCTGTTGCCGAGTGTCACAGAACTTTTCCCAGAATTTCGGCCTGGAAAGGTGTTACGCTTCCTACGTCTTTTTGGACCAGGAAAGAATGTCCCATCTGTTTGGCGGAGTGCTCGGAGAAAGAGGAAAAGGAAGCACCGTGAGCTGATACAGGAAGAGCAGATTCAGGAGGTGGAGTGCTCAGTAGAATCGGAAGTCAACCAGAAGTCTTTATGGACCTATGACTATGCTCCGCCACCTCCTCCAGAACAGTGTCTCTCTGATGATGAAATCACAATGATGGCTCCTGTGGAGTCCAAGTTTTCCCAGTCTACTGGAGATATAGATAAAGTGACAGGTACCAAAGCAAGAGTAGCTGAGTGGCGTTATGGGCCAGCCCAACTGTGGTATGATATGCTGGGTGTCCCTGAAGATGGCAGTGGGTTTGACTATGGCTTCAAACTGAGAAAGATGGAACATGAGCCTGTGATAAAAGGTAGAATGATGGAGGACTTTAGGAAATTTGAGGAAAGCAGTGGCACTGATCTTCTGGCTGATGAAAACTTCCTGATGGCGACACAACTGTATTGGGAGGATGATATCATCTGGGATGGGGAGGATGTCAAACACAAAGGGACAAAACCTCAGTGTACAAGCCTGGAAGGTTGGCTTCCTTCCAGCACGATTAGAAATGCCATGGCTTACAATGTTCAGCAAGGTTGTGCAGCCACCCTGGATGATGACAAGCCTTGGTACTCCATTTTTCCCATTGACAATGAGGAGCTGGTGTATGGACGTTGGGAGGACAACATTATTTGGGATGCTCAGGCCATGCCCCGGCTGTTGGAGCCTCCTGTTTTGACACTTGATCCCAATGATGAGAATCTCATTTTGGAAATGCCTGATGAGGCGGAAGAGGCCACATCTAACTCCCCCTCCAAGGAGAGTAAAAAGGAATCATCTCTGAAGAAAAGTCGAATTCTCTTAGGGAAAACAGGAGTCACCAAGGAGGAACCACAGCAGAACATGTCTCAGCCAGAAATGAAAGATCCATGGAATCTCTCCAATGATGAATTTTACTACCCCAAGCAACAGCATCTTCAAGGCACTTTGGGAGGAAATAGTATCCAGCACTCAATTCCTGCTGTGGAATTACGGCAGCCCTTCTTTCCCACCCATATGGGGCCCGTCAAACTCCGGCACTTCCATCGCCCAGCTCTGAAGAAGTACTCCTTTGGGGCATTGTCTCAGCCAGGTCCCCACTCAGTCCAACCCTTGCTAAAGCACATAAGAAAGAAGGCTAAGATGAGAGAACAAGAGAGGCAAGCTTCAGGTGGTGGAGAGATGTTTTTTATGCGCACATCTCAGGACCTCACAGGCAAAGATGGAGATCTTATTCTAGCAGAATACAGTGAGGAAAATGGACCGTTAATGATGCAGGTTGGCATGGCAACCAAGATAAAAAACTATTATAAGCGGAAACCTGGAAAAGATCCTGGGGCCCCAGATTGTAAATATGGAGAAACTGTTTACTGCCATACCTCTCCTTTCCTGGGCTCTCTCCATCCTGGCCAGTTGCTGCAGGCGTTTGAGAACAATCTCTTTCGTGCCCCAATTTATCTTCATAAGATGCCAGAAACTGATTTCCTTATCATTCGGACAAGACAAGGTTACTACATTCGGGAATTGGTGGATATCTTTGTGGTTGGCCAGCAGTGCCCCTTGTTTGAAGTTCCTGGGCCCAACTCCAAAAGGGCCAATACACATATTCGAGATTTTCTCCAGGTTTTTATTTACCGCCTCTTCTGGAAGAGTGCAGATCGGCCACGGCGGATCCGAATGGAAGATATAAAAACAGCCTTTCCCTGTCATTCAGAAAGCAGCATCTGGAAGAGGCTAAAGCTCTGTGCTGACTTCAAACGCACAGGGATGGATTCAAATTGGTGGGTGCTGAAGTCTGATTTTCGTTTACCAACTGAAGAGGAGATCAGAGCTATGGTGTCTCCAGAGCAGTGCTGTGCTTATTACAGTATGAGAGCTGCAGAGCAGCGACTCAAGGATGCTGGCTATGGTGAGAAGTCCTTTTTTGCTCCAGAAAAAGAAAACGAGGAAGATTTCCAGATGAAGACTGATGATGAGGTTCGCACTGCTCCTTGGAACACCACAAGGGCCTTCATTGCTGCCATGAAGGGCAAGTGTCTCTTGGAGGTGACTGGGGTGGCAGATCCCACAGGGTGTGGTGAAGGATTTTCCTATGTGAAGATTCCAAACAAACCAATGCAACAGAAGGATGATAAAGAGCCTCAGCCAGTGAAGAAAACAGTGACAGGAACAGATGCAGACCTCCGTCGCCTCTCTTTGAAAAATGCCAAGCAACTTCTATGTAAATTTGGCGTGCCTGAGGAAGAGATGAAAAAGTTGTCCCGCTGGGAAGTGATTGATGTGGTGCGCACAATGTCAACAGAACAGGCCCACTCTGGGGAAGGGTCAATGAGTAAATTTGCCCGTGGATCAAGGTTCTCTGTGGCTGAGCATCAAGAACGTTACAAAGAGGAATGTCAACGCATCTTTGACCTACAAAACAAGGTTTTGTCATCAACTGAAGTCTTATCAACTGATACAGATAGCAGCTCAGCTGAAGACAGTGACTTTGAAGAAATGGGGAAGGCTATAGAGAACATGTTGCAGAATAAGAAAACCAGCTCTCAGCTGTCACGAGAACGGGAGGAGCAGGAGCGGAAGGAACTACAGAGGATGCTACTGGCAGCAGGTTCAGCAGCAGCAGGAAACAGTCACAGAGATGATGATACAACTTCTGTGACTAGCCTGAACTCTTCTGCCACTGGCCGTTGTCTCAAGATTTATCGCACATTTCGAGATGAAGAGGGGAAAGAATATGTTCGCTGTGAGACGGTCCGAAAGCCAGCTGTCATAGATGCCTATGTGCGCATACGGACTACAAAAGATGAGGAGTTCATTCGAAAATTCGCCCTTTTTGATGAACAGCATCGAGAAGAGATGCGAAAAGAACGGCGGAGGATTCAAGAGCAGCTGAGGCGGCTTAAGCGGAACCGGGAGAAGGAGAAGCTTAAGGGTCCTCCTGAGAAAAAGCCAAAAAAGTTGAAGGAGCGTCCTGACCTAAAACTGAAATGTGGGGCTTGTGGAGCCATTGGGCACATGAGGACAAACAAATGCTGCCCCCTCTATTATCAAACAAGTGCTCCACCTTCCAATCCTGTTGCCATGACAGAGGAACAGGAAGAGGAGTTGGAAAAGACAGTCATTCATGATGATAGTGAAGAACTTATCAAGGTTGAAGGGACCAAGATTGTTTTGGGGAAACAGCTAATTGAGAGTGCAGATGAGGTTCGCAGAAAGTCTCTGGTTCTCAAGTTCCCTAAACAGCAACTCCCCCCTAAGAAGAAACGGCGAGTTGGAACCACTCCCACTGTGACTATTTGAATAGACCTCATAAGACCATCCACCGGCACTGCCGGACAGACCCCATGGTGACACTGTCATCTATCTTGGAGTCTATCATGAATGACCTGAGAGATCTTCTAAATACTTACCCTTTCCACTCTCCAATCAATGGGAAGGTTGTAAAGGACTACTACAAAATTATGACTTGACCAATGGACTTACAGACACTTCGTGAAAATGTGCGTAAATGCCTCTACCCATCTCGGGAAGAGTTCAGAGAGCATTTGGAGCTCATTGTGAAAAATAGTACAACCTACAATGGGC